TCAGCAAACTTATTATAGTGTCGACAAGTTACATGGATTTTTTCGTGCATGTTTTCAATCGTTCTCGATGTAATTGAAATTTAAATAACACATATTTTGGCGCAGCCAAGGTAAGTTTTCGTTCGTTGTCCATTAGCGTTGAAAGTGGTATAGAGACGGATATTGCCTAATTATTGGCTTTAATATTTTATCCCAATGAAGCTGTTATCTGATTTAGGTTGAAACGTGGCATGATAAATCCGTGTCGCAACAAATGAACTTCGATTGTTGCGCTGTCATTGCGGAAGGCCAAAAGTTTTGGCGGCTTTGTTTTAGATTCTCTGATTTTCATGCCATATTTTTATTTTCACAGAACGCATAGATCAACGGACAGGTTCTCGAAAGGACAAAAATAGTACGGATATATTAGCAAAACATTCAATCATTAGATGCGGCTCGCGATTTGCGCCAAAATCTGCCGGGTTAAAATTACTCCATATTAAATTAGCAGATCATTTCAATATTATGATTTTAAATTTGAAACAAATAAATTTGTTATTTCTAGCATAAGGTTTAGGCGAAGAGAAATCAGGAAAAAACGGACAAGGTTCAGGCATAACCAGTTTTTCACAGTATTTTATATCTTATGTGGATATACTTAAAAAGTCCATTTAATTAGTTGAATTGCTTCTCAAACTACCACGTGGATAATGAAAGGGTGGTTCGTAGGAAGTTTTACAGTATGCTTATAATATTACAAAACGCAATTATATTCGTTCAAGTTATTACAAATAATCTTGTCATATAATACGTCTTGAAAAATTAATAAATGTTCTGAAGACTATGGCATTTATGATCAAGACTTGGGTCAATTACTGTAATATACTTTTTTTCGATGAATTAATTATTGTAGAAATGAAAATATCTATTTACTTCATGGGAAATTGTTTGAACTGATTTTCTGTCAGGGGAAAAAGTCTTTTGACCAACAGGTTTTTGCATCGTTGAGACCTTTGTTCAAAATCGCGGAGCCTTTCATCAATTTACGAGGTTGGTAATTTCATGCTAATGGTAACAAGGTCAATTATTAGATCACTACTCGAAAAGTTCACACATACCATAAGCCAACAAACCGTTAACAAAATAATACAAGACTGCGAACATAAATGAATGAATTGAGTGAACGAGGATACTCTCAATAAAAAATTAGGGCAAATTTAGGAGTGAGAATAAGTTGAATACGAAATTTTATTCTGCTTAGTGTTTCAAAACAGCGCCTGCGCCACGACGACTAATGGGACACGTGCCAAAATTGTTGTACAATTCCACTCATTTAAGAAACAAATGAATAATACAACTGAAAGACAGATAAAAACTATATTTATGCCTCATGAACTGGAATGAATGAGGAACATGAATATCTTTCCTCATTTCAACCTGGTCACTCTGAAAAATAAGAGAGCAGCGTAGCTACAGTGTCACTAAATTCACAGGGTAAGTCGCTAACGGGTGCTTTCTAATTAGGTACATCCACAAGGGAATTATCTTCCATAGAACCCTGATCGAAATTGAGGCTGTTTCGATGCTTGTTGTGAATATGTCTCTGCAGGTTGCTGCTCTGCGTCGCCTTGTAGTCGCAGAGCAGACAATGGTAAGGCCGCTCGCCCGTGTGGATGCGCATATGGCGCGACAAGTTCCGACTATGCATGAAGATTCGACCGCAATACAGACACGCCGCGCTGTCGTTTGAACCGTCGCCGGCGAGAGCAACCGTTGCGTCCGAACTCGTCGTTGAGGGCGATATGGGTGCGGCTGCGGGCAAACTCGTCGACTGATTAACTCCGGTGCTACTGTGACTTCGAGGAATGACACTCGAGGTTGAGGCCTTGCCAGAGTCCGAAACATACAGATCGCGTCGAAACTCATGTTGGTGGCGATTTCGAAGACCGCCCAGAGGTGTAGGTGAAGGAACTCCTAACTCGGTCATCTGCAAATGAAGGTGGCCATTACTAGAATGCTCTCTAAAGAGACTTCACGTAGTAAATTACAATTCGAGAGAAATTAACAGTCTGTTAACACAAAAATCCATGCTTAGCACTATTTAATGACCGAAAGAGACGCACAAGGTTCTGAGGTTATCATTTAAAACATAAGCATCGAGCTCCCTGCATATTCCTCAAAAACTTATTTACAGGGCACGGAAAAAGATGAGCCCGTAATTGTCACCATATCATCTGTTAGTTTAACCATTTGTCGTTTTAGACGCAAAGTGCACTCAGTTTCCTACCGGATCCCATGTTATACTTTGCAATTTGATCTAAAGTGTGCTACTACTTTCGGACTTAAGATGATGAATTGTATTATTTCGCTCCCTCTAAAACAGCTGGAATCTTCATTTTTAGGGGCGTGACATGAAAGTAGCCTTTTTCTACTGCTAAACTTTGTAATGCTAGAAACCAAATCAGCGCCGGGAACCAATGTCGCTTCAATATAAGATCGAGTTTTGACAAAAATATCTATTACTGCTAGGGTGAAGAAAAAATAGTTCAACATTTTAAAACGATTTATTGGGAAAAAAATCACGAGGTAAACAATTCAATCGCAAGTTTCCATAACCTTTGGAAGTGCAATGGAACTTTATTTCACTTGAAGCTCTCTTTAAATTCACAGACACCAGAATTTTATATCCATTTGAAATACTAATGCATCGAATGGGTTCAGTTTTCGTTAAAATTTTAAATGGTCTAGGCCTTATCATAGCTGCTTCAGCGATGCAGATAAATCCACACAAGTTAGGTTTGTTATTCTATTTTGTTCGGCACGTCAAAGTTGATAGGCTAATACGAAGGAAAACCAGCACTGCGCATTTATTAAACTCAAAAGTACCACTAAAAATCAATATGGATGGCAATAAAGTTGAACTGATAAAACTTCTCGAACGCGATCCAAATTGTTATCAGCTTGTAGTTTTAGATCTAATATTTGTGGGACTGATATTTTTGAATCAAATTAACGACTTCCTATTTCTCATGGCAATTTCATTCATGAGTTACTCGCTATTCGAATATAACCAATATAAGGCTAAATTGACCAGGAATTTAAAAGTAAAGAAAATAGCCAAAAAGTTCACAATTTCTTATAAGAGAAAACGTTTCGGAGTCCAGCTCCGAATTTGCGACTTAAGCAGCCAAGTGATTTTAATACTTAAGGCTAAATTGATGTACTCTGCTATGGTAAGTTCAGCATTACTGCCACGTAGTAAATTAAGACGGCGATACTATCAAACTCCGCCCATAATCTTACAAACCCCTATGTTAAACCCTGAAATACGATCATGAAAATAATTCATGACAAGATGGCCGCGAATTCCGGTCCACAATCTCAACTCCTTCAGACGACATACCGTACCACCCAACTAGCAGAGGCGATCGGCTTCTGGAGCCGGCGCACCGTCGACGATATCAGGCCGGTGTTTGCAGAGCATGTGTCTCTTCAAGTTATTCTTGACAGACGACCTAAAGTCGCAAAACTGACAAGCAAAAGGTTTTTCTCCAGTATGAATTCTCATGTGCCTTGTCAAGTGCCAAGAACTAGACAAATGCTTGAAACAAATCGGGCATTTGAAAAGTGACGTGGCGGACGCCAGTGATGCGTCGATGCTGCCATCGGCGCTGCCAGCAAAGCTGTAGTCGAGTGCAGGAAGAAACGCGGCATCAGAAGACTGAAACTCGGAGCCAGCTTTGCCGATAGCGAAGCCCGGGAACAAGTGGCTCGAAGCTGAACGATGAGCCTGAACAGAAGGAGAAATGTGAGCTTCAAGCGGCTGCTGGGAAAAATTATAGAAGTAGATTCGTCCGACACATGGCACGATTGTTTTATCACATGTATTTGAGGAATTGTGAAAATTTTTATACCTGTTGCAGCAGCACGTGTTGTTACGATGATAAGTTTGTGATGCTTGCATATTCTGTAGTTTAAATTTTTTTAAAACGCAACGGCAAGAGTGCACTTAAAGGAACAAAGAAAACGAAAATTAATCTTGGTAGTATATTAATTAGGACAATCAAACTGCAAAGCAACGAGGATGCAACAGAATGATCGCATTTGAGGTAGACCCGGGCAACCACTTGAATCAGATGCTTATAGGTGTTCACATTCACAAGAAACCTTAAGAATAGCAAATCTAATTCCTTTGTGACCGCTGCATTGTCATTGGTCAATATTTGACAATGATTGCGAAGTAATTTGGCATTTTCGCATCCTTACACAGACGAGTTTTCATAACTTATCTACAAGATATATTCAATTTGAAATACTAATTTCATCTGAACTAGACTTGAATTGCGATCTGTATGGAAATTACGACGAACTTCTTTTTTTAATATAGAAGAGATTTAGGGTATTGATTCAATGCACTTTGCACACTTTTGACTGATATCAAAACAAGAAAAAAATGATATAGAGGTTAAGAAAATTTGCTTGTGGGCGAAACAGTTGCAAATTGAGAGCATGAAGTCAACATTACAACTCAGATATTTACGTGAAATCAAATGAATTCACTTCGTCTTTTGTACTAAACTAATGATTCCATTTAAATTCAGGTTTTCATTCACGCTGAACATCAGAATGAAGCAACTTGATCTAATTGGGACATTTTTTGGCGAATATCAGTACAAGAAAATATGTATTTACTAAAAAGCCTTTGAATCGCACTCGTACGAAAAATAAATTATTCACTCATAGACTAGCGCTAGTCAACAGGAAAAGAATTCTTTAGGTCCGTTGAACAAAATTTCAACCAAACAACGACTCGGTCGTCGTCAACGGGTTCAAGTTCATAGCCGCTACGATCCTACTGAAAGTAATGTTGGCATGGTTAAACCGTAGTTTCATACTCAGTGGTTATATTTACTAGGGTTAATATACAAGGCCGGCGAGCACATGTTCAGAATGGAGAAAAAACGAAATTGTGAGATTTCCTGGCATTCCAAATTTCGAGAAGCAGGCGCTGTGTGTGCCTATCAGGCAGTGTTGACTCCATGGACGAATTGGATGTGTCGGGTGAGGTCTCCGCGGTACTTGGCTTTGTGGGAACAGTGGGGGCAAGAGAAGGGCCTCTCGCCCGTATGAGTACGCATGTGTTCCTTGAGGCGTGACATGAACGAGAACTTTCGAGGGCAGAAGTTGCACGAGTAGGCCTGTGATTCTCCTACGGTAGCGAACGCTGATGAAACCATGGTGCCGGAGGCGACCAAGGCAGCGAAAGAGGACGACGATGAGCTCGGTCGAGGACTCTTGTTGGCCTTGGTTGCAGCCACAAGTCCTCTGCTGGATACAATGGCGTCCTGCACAGGAGGTACAAGTTTAGAGGACACGCCACCATGGACTGTACTTTCTAATTATCAGTTTTTAGGCGTACTTTACCTTGCTGGCGAAAGGTATAACTTACGCCAGTCTCACCACAAATAAGGATATGTTTTCCTCAACGTACGTAGATTCGTCAAGTTTCGTAGTTCGAGCGCACGTCACCTTGCAGCCTAAGTTCAGGTATGAAGTATAAACCACGTCAATTTTCGGGCGGATATAAATGCCGCACGCAAAATTTGCGTGGGCATCAAATCCCGGAAAGGCTTTCCATATGATTAGCTAACAACTCTTCGTTATCACTATGAACTCAAAAAACGCTAGTAGAGGTAGTGAGTGGATAACTTGACTGCAGTTTGTAGGAAGAACAAAAATCAAGCTTTTGCATCACTTTATTCACAATTTAAAGGCATTACAAAATCAGGTTGCCTGGAACCACAAAAATTATTTACGTCAGAATTCGCACCGTAAGAAGATTGAACATTGAGAGTTTAATACATCAACAAAAACTTTTTTTGAGAAACACATTCAGGTAACACTCAAAGGTTTTGAAAAAACTAATGATTCAAAATTACCTTCAAAGTAGATGCTATCGAATTCAACGGATAACCTATGATAAATCTCATCACATTTTCGATGAGAAAGAAGAAGTCAATAAATAACTTTAGATCGGCCTCAAAAAGATCGGTTACAACAAGCTCATCGCTAGGTATACAAATCAGCAATATAAAAAATGAGAAATTCCGAAAAAATTAGAGGTTGTTGGAATAAATCTTAGCAAAAGTTTCCTCCATGCAGTAGTCTTGTGTCATCTGACGCGAGGTCATCGTGCGATGGCAGCAATGAGGAGCTTGAAAATTTATTGCGTCAACTATAAGCTGTATTCTACAGAAGTCATCAGATTTTATTATTTGATTCTAGACGTGTTTCAACTATGAACGTTTTATAAACAAATGATCACATGTTTAGATGCCTAATCTTAAAGTACCTAGCATAATGTTTGCATTCCAATTCGTAATGCTTCGTATGATAATTTACAATTAACTTTGCCCATCGCTCTATTTTCATGAATATTTTCGTGCCGATACCACGTTGAGCACTGACAGTTCTCTCAGCCTGGCAACTTTCCAATTGGGAAGTCCGCAATGTTGAGCTGATGACGCAGGAACATGTGCCTCTTCATGTGGCTTTTTATGGACGCGCGATAATCACAAGCGGGACACTGGAACGGACGCTCGCCAGTATGGGATCTGATGTGGCGAACCAAGTCCCTTTTGCCGCCGAAGCGCTTGCCACACATTGGGCAAATTTTTTGAGATGTAGAAGCCGAGGCCCCAATTCCTTCCTCTAAGTAGGATTGACTTTGAGGAAGTGATTGTTCGCCGAGCAAGAACGGCATTTGATGACTCGAACTTTCAGGAGGAAAACTTACCGAGCTGGCACTGGTCCTTACACTACGGTTGTTCATCGAGATGGACGCTTCAGAGTGAATTAACTTGAATTCATGCGAGGGTGTCACTGAAACGTTGGAGAAGATCGTCCCTGGCCGTATCTGCAAGAGCAACAAGATCAGTTAGAGCTCGCCACGGTCACTGAGCGGAGCTGAACTCCTCAATTTTGTCGCTAAATAAGCGTCAGCGAAGGTCCGGTTGAGGAAAATATTCAAATTTTAAGTTCATTTTTGCTTTGATGAAAGGAGCATCACCGCAGCTGAAACGCTGAATTTAATGTAATCATCTTGTGCAAGAAGGAATTACTTGAACTGTTAATAATAACCGCGTCACCCGCCAGAAAATACCAACAAATATAAGACTTTACGCGCGATTCATGTATCATTGGGTGGTAAGAAAACCACTGGCTCAGGTGGGGGGCTGTTTGTCACGATGCACCATAAGGACGTGTCTCTTGACAGAACCTTTTTGACTTGCTTTGTAAGAGCAGTATGGGCACGCATAAGGTCTTTCTCCCGTGTGAACGCGAACATGTCTCTCCATGTGAGTGCGACACATGAAGGCTTTGCCACAGTACATGCACGTATAATCGCTAATCAACGGCTGGTCGAGATCTCCAACAGCCAGGTCAAGACTGGCTGAGAATGGGGTAGTCACGAGCGTAGAGAGACTGGCAACGGCTGCTGTATAAGAGACGTCGACGCGGCTGTTCTTTCCAAGATCTTTGAGGTCCTGGTTTGTAGATGTGGATGTGAAAGGAGAAGTAGAAAGTGAAGTGCTATTCTTGGAGTGGGGATCATCTGCAACTGCAGAGGGAAGTGCAGTTGATACTTGCTGCAGTCGCAGACCTTCTTCGTGCCTGGGCAATAACCCTCCAGGATATCTCGACATCTGAGGACAGATGAAAGATGGACATTATTTTCTTATTTAGTTTCCATTTTCCATTCGCTTCCCATAAAATAACATTTCTGAGACTTTCTGTAAATATGGGATATTGAATTGGTAAATGACTCAATGTTCACAAGTTAAGCCATCACCAACTGTCGTACGCCCACTATCGTACGCTCAGTCCTCCTGCCACAGAAGGTCATTTTCATCCTAGAAATACTATCTAAAATAAACAATTATAGAATTCGGACGGCAATAGGAAGTATAGGAATAACAATAAATACATAAAATTTAGCTAAATGAGGATTTATGCATCTATCACCAACTAGCAATCTTCATTAATCCTTTTTAGTCTGCAGTGATACTGCTCACTACCGAACCGCGCTTTAACTTTAAATCTCTTGTCAGTTACTTATTTCTCGTACGAAACTAGGCTTCTTGAACATCTAGTATCATAAATTCTTGTTTATCAACCGTAATTGTTAGCAAAGAAGTTATGTGTGCGAAGCAGTCGAGTCATGCTTGGCCAGGAAATGTTGTTTAAGTGAACTTTTCTGATTGGCGCGGTACGGACAATTCGGGCAAGCGAACGGTTTCTCCCCAGTGTGAATCATAAGATGCCTCTTGAAATCATACGACCGAGTAAAGTGCTTGCCACAGTCTTCATGAGGGCAAACATAGCCCTTAATGGTAGAGTAGCTTGAGTACAGTGGATCTGAATGCGTGAGTGTTGAGTGCGAGATATGCTGGGGCAGGTTCCAGTCGGTTGGTGTTCTGACAGAGTCTTTTGCGTTTCCACGTCGCGCCTTGTCTTCTGAAGGAGAAGTGTTTCGAGATGCGTCCAAGGCAATGAAAGCATCTCCGACAGGCACCTGCGAACAAGCGAACACATGAAGACTCACACTGTTAACTGACTTACGGAAGGCGAATCAAAAGTCCCCCTGAAAATATTCTTAAAACAATCACAAGATGACTAGTTTCGGAATTGCCATCTAGACAACTCCGGAATACCACAATCCCGAATCTTTAACGGTTGATTGTTTTCTTTTTGTATAATAATGCCAATAATTACTAATTTAAATAACAGAACTTGTACAACCAGTTTTTTATTTTGAGACGTCAGCGTACAAGGCACCATAAAAAGCTGTTAGCTTCACGACTGACTTGAATTCTCTGTCAAAATGCCAGATAACAGCGAAAATCGAATTTCAGTTTCTTTTTAAATATTTTTTTCTTCCGTTAAATTGTTCAAATTTACGCAAAAAATCTCTCTGTCAACATAGGAGAAATAAAAGATACAAGCATTTTAGAGAGTTTACTTTCTACATCACACTTACATGACTCGTCGATAATATTTTTATTTTCGCATTATAACGTCGCTTCAATAACAATGTGATGATGCGTAAAAAACAAGGTTTTACGCTGATTTGCTATTTGTTTGAGTTCTAATTTCAACCCTGATTTCAATGAATCACTTTTCATTTGTTATGTTTTACCGCTCAAGACCATTTTTTGTGAACTTACATTTCGTTATGAAGACGCACAAATGAATTTTATTTCAACAATCTCCAATTAAAAAATTTACATCTTCAACATATACAGCGGAATAAGTTTATTGGTACTTTAATGGGCATAAGGTTCACTAGAGATCAAAACAAGGATATCTTTATTAACTTCATACAATAAGGCAAAAGGTCTCATAGCTCCCGATACCTAAAAAAATATGGTAAAAACCAAATTTTACTAAAAAACATTCTTCACCCACAAGAAGCTAAACGTCTCAACTAGCCAGCGAACTGAAACTGGCAAGAAATTAAGGAATAGCCTTTTATTTGTGAGAGACAAAGAACAAAGAAGCAATAAGTGATTGGTAACAAGAACGTAGACGCTGGTGCTAGAGGTCGCATACACGGTCGGCCACCAACACGAAAAGAACGTAAAGTGCAAGGAACCATAGATCTTCATGGAAGCTTAACCCAAAACTGAGACCTGCAATCGAGTAGCACTAGCTCTGTAGTGGGTACTCAAAAGCGAAGCCTCGCGGGAGAATTTTTAATACGCTATGACAAGCACCAGCGAAGACCCAAGAAGAGGATAGCGTAATGAATCAATCGATATCAGGATCTGGATATTCTCGCGTAAAAGCCGCAACAAGCATTGAATTGCAGTAAAAATTTCACCTTACAATTACTAGCCAACAACGTTCAGCACTAAAAATTTGAGCATAAATAACTGAACGTCATTCCTGTACAGGAATTGTAATTTTGAATGATAGGTGGTACCTACGAGGTTTTCCAACTGCATTTCAAGTCCTTTACGGATCATCAAAAGTGACCTCCACAATTGTTATTCAAAAGTCGGGACACAGCCATGTTGCGACAAATGATGCTTGTTGAGGTCGCCCTTCTGTGTGGCGCGGTACGGACAAAATGAACAAGCGTAGGGTCGCTCACCCGTGTGAATACGAACGTGGCGTCGTAAATCAGACTTGCGCTTGAACCACTTGTCGCAAAATGGACAATTGTGACCACTGTCTTCACGATCTCGATGTAGGCTACTTTCCTCGCTTGGTTTCCAACTCAAATTTGGAGGAGGAGAAACGTTCTCGGCAGATGAAGAGAGAAGATGAGGCAGGGACGAAGTGTCATAAGTTGATCGATACGTCAAGACTCCGATAGCGTCTTTCTTGCTCGCAGCAGAAAGTAGAGAAGGCACTGTGCGACGCGACTTATCCGAGCTGATATTCTCCGTAGTGTATTCAGAAGGATTTGTTGCCCGAGAGTGCTGCAGTCGGGAGATCATGAGCTCAACCTGAGAAAGAATTGAACATCATTTAGGATGAATTAATGGTCGGATAATTGGTAATGAGTTTACGCTAGGTGCACTCCAACACTCAGTCAAGAAGAAAAATCAACGGAAAATGTTCACTCACAAATTTTTCATGAACATTCGGCGACATAGTTTCTCAATTTCATGAACCGGGTTTGATGAATTTTCTTTCTTCTGGCAGCTGATATTATGCGAGCACTTGAAGTCATTGCGGAACGCAGATTAGCAACATACTCGACCCCATCGTGAATGGCACAATACGAAAACTTGACCAGAACTTTCCAACACTAAATATGGCACAGAGTTCAATTACAATTTTATGTTATAAATAATAGCTTTGACAATGCATGCAATGATAATATAAGCAGGAATGGCAACAGACCGCAATTCTTTCATTTCATGTACTACATAACTATTTCCACAGTAGCGACCACAGTCAGAAAACTAGGATCTCAATTGGGTTAGAATTTATGGAATTCGTGCCAAGAGTTGTGACCTATACGCTGACCATATATATTATCGTATATTATCTCATCGGCGATTAATAGGATACGTTCAGCTCCTGAACTGAAGCATGTTGAATTCGCCCTGCAGTCGTCATTTTTCAGGAGTACTTCTTTTATGTTGTGTTGTGCTTATTTGGATGATGAAATTCTCAGAATTTGATTTCAATTTTAGTATATTCTTTTATGTTCAGTGATATTGTTACCTGTTACCTCACTAACGCTTCGTTATTGCAGCGGCTTTAGCAACGTTCAACGAGGTTATGTCCTTTTGATGGCAAAATCTGTTTAAAAAATTTTCACGACAGTTATTTATACTTTTAGCTTGACTATATAAGACCATTTTATGATTTAAAATGTATGATTTCTAGAAACTATTTAGTCTACTTTTATTCGACACGCACACATTAGCACACAAAGCTTGTGGCACGCTACACTCGTTTGCGCTAAGATTATTCATAATTGCGGTACTAAAATTTCGCTGAATACAATTTCATGACGTAAAACTGTAGGGACTTTTGAGGGCCACGATAACGCAAAATGGCGACTTGAAGCCATTTTGTGGAGCTCCAAATATTATGAGTAACGATGATGTGAAATGCTTCACTTGAAGGGTATTTTATGGACGGCCGTGACATGTTGCTTGAGATTGCTCTTGAGAGATGCTCTGAAGGAACATTGCGGGCAGGCGTAGGGCTTTTCGCCGGTGTGTACAAGGAAATGTCGCCGCACATCAGACGAACGCAGGAACCACTTCCCGCAGAACAAGCAGTTGTGGCCGCGGCCGTCGGGAGCGCGAGCGTGACTCAGTGAAGTCTTGGACGAGAAAACCGTTCCTGGATGTCGCGAGTTCGACTCAGACTCAGGCAGGTCTTCGGATGAGCAGCCTTCAGAGGACATCTGCAGGGAGGAGAGCCATAACATCACTCTACTTATATTGTAGATCATACTTAAACTACACACTCTTTGTAATGCAAACACATCTGGAGGAGAGGGGGTATCTCACATTTGGGTGAAAACAATATCTCACGTATACCTGTTCAGTCAGACACGAATCTAGGCCTCCATCAATGGATGGATATAAACGTACACGTAATACAGGTCAATCTTCCTGATAGAACGATTAAGTATTGAAAATTCAGTAGCATTTATTGAATTCCGTTAATAAAAAATCAATAAGTCACCTTATGAAAATGCTGAAGTCGAAATGTGGATCACTCAAGTTTTCCGGAACACATCCTCGTCATTTCTACAAGCTTTTTTATTCAATTAACGGTCGCGAGAACTGAGTGCAATCATCAACTACGAACAGTGAATGCATTTTTGTGTTGGGATTTTAACGATTCAAGTCATTTTCTCCGGACCAAATCGCACGAATAACATGAAACATCGCATGGGAAACATTACAAAACCGATGTCTGCTGAAGCGAATATTGAAAGATAAATAAAACGCAGAGATAGAAGAAAAATATTTATTATAAGCCGAGTTAAGTGACTTTCAATACGCGATATCACAATGAAGAACTGATATATAAGTGAAAACATCTATGTATCCGGTAATATGCATTATCAGACAGTATGGATGTGAACATTTATACGTAAATACAATCAGTGAAGTGAACAAGTTTGATGAGTCTCATCAAAATCGTTTTCTCAAGTAACGTAATAAATTCAAAGCTGAAACGTCCATATGCACGAAACGTTACATGAAACTCTCATTGTATGAAACGTTCTTCTTATCTTAATTCGAAACATCCACGCTGAAAAAAGGACATTAATCTCACACCCAGAAAGTAAATGAGTGTGCCGCACAGACTCAAGCATTATCATCTGCAAATGTAAGCTTGAAAACAAAACCAAAGAGTTCAAATCGAAGAACAAACTAGTGAAATCATTAATACTGAGCCCCGTACGCTGCACCAATCAAATATGAGCTACAACTCTGAATTTGTTAGGTTTTTTATTACCGAGTGTAATACCGAGTTTTTTATTACCATCAAGCGTAACTAGAAAAATAAAAGGAATAACACAAATAACACAATTTCACTTGTAATGTCCTTTAGTCTAAAGAAACCTCTAAGTGGGTGCCTAGGAACGCAAAAGAGAAAAATAATTCTTGAGCTGAAAACTTTCCACTCCCAAAAACTGCATGACCTCTATTGTAACAAAAATTAAGAACAGGAGGAAGCATACAAATCAGCAAAGGGCTAGCAAAGTAACTGCGAATCTATGCAGTCAAAGAATGCATAAATAATATGTAAATAACACGTGAGGATACCAAAGCATCATAGCGGATGCAATGTTGTTCTCTTCTACAGATTAGACGATATTCACAGTATTTTTTCCCAGCTAATTCAGCGTGACTCTTCACTATTTCTGGTAGCAGAACGCAACATGTTCATGCGGTGTGTGGTTTCACATTCTCGATTAATCGATACCGGTACTCTTCGGATCACTTCGATTGTTCTGAGCTGCTTTCTTTACAGTTTTTGGTATCAAAAGGTACATTGTGAGTGTTAACGACGTGTTGCTTGAGATTCCCTTTGACTGCCGCCCTGTACGGACAGATGGGACAGCTGTACGGTCGTTCGCCTGTGTGCACACGCACATGCCGTCGTAGGTCTTTCGGCAAAAGGAACCATTTGCCGCAGACGTCGCAGGAGTTGCCACTTCTGTTGGGGTACTTTGGGTCGCAGCCCACGAGGGACGTAGGCAAAGTAGTAAGGTTGGTGGAGAAAGAGCTCGATGAAGAGGAACCTAATCCTGCATAGGAGCCGGCGACTACTGACCAGGGTCGTCCGGATGTCAAGTAGCGTCGAGTAGACTCCAAGCGAGGTGACATCTGCAGAACAAAAAATCACGGCAAGTTACTTCGAGTGCGATAGCAGCAAGCCAAAAGTCAATGACTCAGCTTTATAAAACACCACCATAAACCTAGCTTGCTTTCGGGTGATGATTCTCTTGAAAAACGCTCAATAGAAAACTTATTTATATGTATAGGCTCAACCCCTTTTAGAAATAATCTAATGTACAGATTTTCGCTTGGAAAAAGCAACTGACGATCGATATCTCAGTTGCAGCAGGATACCGGTACTCAAGTTACAATGACAGCTCAAGCTCGAAAAGCACCGTAAATAAAGTCACCAAGATCGACAGATTTTTCAGTGGACTGGATGCGAACCTTCTACGTTTCGATTGTCAGTAGGCTTGAGGGCGAGAACATCATGCCATAGTTGCCCCGCATTGAAATTTTTCGGCATGAGACCTCATGATGTGCTGCTTGAGGTTGCCTTTCCGGTTGGAACGATGAGGACAATACGGACAGAGGAACGGCTGTTCTCCGGTGTGTATGAGAACATGTCGCTTCATATCCCGGCTACAGGGAAACGCTCTTGCACAATACGGGCAATAGAAAGCTCGCTTTAGGTCACTGATTTGGTTTTTTGTTCGATGCGTCTGGGATAGTGCAGCAGACATGCCAAGCTCTTCAGACATCCCAAGATCTTCTAAACCCACAATATTACCGGCCAACGAGCAAGCCAGCGATTGCATAACTCTTTTCGTTCCGCTTCCAGTTTCAAATTCTGTGGAAGGTTCTCGCTGCGAAATCGAGTATCTTTCGTTGGCCAGGTTTCGGCCAAAATTGTAGACGGAGTTACCGGCACGCCGAGAATGTGACGAGGACTCTTTGCCGGTTACGCCTAAGCGATCTCCTGAAGTCTTGTTGTCGAGGATGTTGGAGCAGAATCGGGAGTCGAGATGAGATGCTCCATGACGTGACCACGACATCTGTAGGCAAGAGCAAGCATCAGAGGAGTTCTTTGTGCCCAGGCGACGGTCCAATTTAAAAAATTCACAACGTAGATTTCACACCGAACAAAAAACACGGATTAATTACTTTCATTCTAGTTCCACCTTCCTAATATTGGAGATCCTATAATAAGCAAACATATTTCACACTTATTCAAGCTCGTAATAGCTTCTTTTTCTATAAATGAAAAAAGATTAATCGCAGTAATCCAAAATTATATAGGACAATAAAAGTACTACATGTTCAATAACCAGGTAATTTACTTAACGTCATTCATAGCAGAAAATTTCGTTCGGCTTGATGACACTAATAACAAAGAGATTATCACGAACGAATTTTCGCCTTTAATTACAGTGACAGTTAACAATGTATGATTGGAATACTAGCGTAGTTAAGGCGGTTATTTGATACAATTTCAAACAGAACCATATAATTGACACAAGACTGATACTATTAAGAAAGGCTTGAAGCCAAAGCAGCCTGCTTAGGAAAGTCGATAACGTGTAGCATTCCATCGAAAGGGAATTTAAATACACAAGTGCTGCTTCGTTCTCCAATATATATTCGCATCGGAATCGCATATAAAAATCATCAATTCAAATACACGTTGAACTTGGTTAATAGATAGCAAAGCTGAGACAACCAAAATAATCGAGTGCGTACGAAATGAAGATATAATGCTTTAATTTTAGATCGTGAAAGTATTAAGAAAAGCATTTTCAATGAGTAAAAAGACACATAGTATATAAATGAGAAACCAAGCCCACAGGAAACAAAGAACACTGGAAACTATGTATACAATTAGTAACGTATTTACTGAATAACTAGAAACATGAATCGAACAACTCCGGTGAATAAAATAATGAAATACATACGAGAACAGTGAAAATTGATAGAGAATAAAACCAGTTAAACACACGGAAACATTGATACTTCATCGGCTATAACATGAAAAGTTTTGAAAGGTTGGACTTAAAATAAAATACATTGAACAATATGTAATTTCTATGTCAGTAACCAAGAAATGATCTTCTAAGTTATAGCAAGAAGTCTCCCCAGTCAGGTCAACATCAACTTTGATAGAACTCTGAGCCGTCATGTACATCAAAATCGTAACTTTCAGGCGAAAAATTCATAAAGATGGGTGCGGGAATAACACGCTTTATTATTTCCATTATTACGTTAAATCCCACACGAATTTGAACTCGAGTACTTGAATATTGATATACACCAATACAAGTCCTATACAAATATATTTCCTGATTGACGAACTCGAAGTTCCTTGAATTGTCATCAGTAAAGGCATCGCGATTGTAACATTAGCACTCATCAATCACGCGGAACTGCTCGACCAAAGGAAATGGTGCATACAAAAACAGTGAGTCCTAATTCCTAATTTTTAATAAAACGTTTGAAGTCTACTTAAAACAACTTTTAAACCGAGAAGAAAGCTTATAAGTGCACATGAATTTATAATCTCCTAACCTACTATTGACACAGGATTTTTCTTCGTTATATGTTGGGAAAATTTCTACAAAATTTCTTGTCATCGCGCAGTAAAAAGATTCATCCGATGGAGAAATCGTTGTACAGCAAAATAACATGGTTTAAAAATAAGCATATGATACTTCGATACTCGAGAAGCAACACTTGATGAAAATTATCGAAATTTTTTTAAACTAAGGTCGAGAGTTTTCTACAAGATCGAAATGTTTGATCCGAACGTGTCTAGCGAGTGCGCCTGTTTGTCTCGCCCTGTAGTCGCAATATCTGCATGGGAAGGGACGGTCGCTCGTGTGCACGATCAAGTGTCGCTTGAGATCAGCACTGCGCAAGAAAAATCGTCCACACACATCGCAGTTGCCAGCACCGCGCATAGAGCGCCTGTTGGTCGCCGCGTCAGCGACTGAAGAACCTGCTGAGTCTTGGCCGAGCCACACACGATTAAAATTTGAAGTATTCCGGCCGTTCCCGTCACTAAAATCAGAGGCTTGTCCCATGCTCAGAGTTTGAGGAGATGGCGCAGCCGAGGATGGACTTGTAATTGAGGCGCTCATCTGAGAAAAAAGTTCTTCAATTACTAATAGATCACAATAAGCCGTGTTAAGACTTAAAATGTGAATGAGAGGTGAGTAGTTAGTGATCATGAGCCATTGCCGTTGAGTAAGTGGGAATATTGTGATGAAACTCAACCAAAACCGTTAATTTTGTAAATGTGCATATGGGATATAATTGCACACACTCCCTTTTCACAAAGCTTGGGATTAAGTTCTGTGAACGTTTCAATAGACATTTCTCAAGCTTCGACAGCGAGTTCAATCTTTTCCTATTAGATCGCCATACTCAACAATCACATTATGAACTTTATTAAGGTGTCTTAGTAGCGTTCCTTTTTGAGAGGCCTTGTAGTTGCACTCGGTGCAGCTGAACGGACGTTCTCCTGTATGAGTGCGCATGTGTCTGTTGAGATCTTTGACGCGCGAGAAGGCTTTTTCACACACGCTACATCTGTGATCACGACCTGGTAGAGGTACCCCGCTCACAGGTAGCTGAGGAATCATGGAAGAAATCATAGACGCATAAGCATCATCGACTTCACTACGAACAGTTTGTTTTACGAATGGATAAACTGCATAAGACGCTGGAGCAGAAGACGATGAGGATGCCGCTGAGCAGAGAGAAGCAAGGTCTAGCGGTACGGAGGTTTCAGAAGCGAGTTGTTTAGCTTTATTGCTGGAGGGAAGCTGATGGTCGTCACCAGGGAGGAGAAGCTTGCGAGTGCTTGTTGAGAGCACAGTGCCACTCGGCTGAAACGAAAAATAGGAAATATGTGTCAACGTTCGAAAATGAAGCAAAATTCTTGCAAGAACGTTATTTTGACTGAATGTATCTCAGACGATTTCTTATCTGTGCCGTTCCGTAAATTTGGCCCAATATCGACTTACTCATGTCTTACGAATTGTGTTTTACGGGTAAAAGTAGAAACATTTGTCTTTCAATTCTATGGTTGAGCCTGCTGCATGGAGGGCAAAACTACACCATTGATTTGTTTGCCAAATTTTCAATTAATTCACAGTCAAAATCAGATTGCAACTTTTTACTTCATGTACTTTACTTTTTCATATACGTATAATTAACCTTACATATTTCCCAGATGCTTTGCGCATCCCAACGACCTTCAAATAACAAACTAATATGACAAAAGATTACGAAAAAATTTTCAGAAGCCAAGGTTTGTGAATAAGTAAAGGATAATTAAAACCTTTTCATATACACTGTTTACTAGTTTACTTACTAAACTATATTCACACTGAATTTCGTACACCAGATCAAATTAGAAACATGGTTAGGAACGATATAAGCCGACGGGCTAAAAATTTGAAGACCTTTATTCAGAAAACTATATAAACAGCTCGAAAAATCGAGTTCCGAGATTAGTTCTGTAAAGTGACAGCAATTAAAATGCGTTTAGCAGACGAAAAATCGTGCAAAATTCAAAGCCACGACGAACATTGAATATAGATTAGACTTTGAATGATTACGAGCTGCACTCTTCTTCCGTTTTTCAAGTTTTTCTTGAAACCATAATTTTAATTGTGGAATAATAACTTTAAAACTCGTACAAGCAATAATTTTTAGCACAATATTATTCGCAATAGAAATTCTGCTGGCGCGCCAGCAATGAAAAAACAGAATATGGTAATACGCTCGAAATAAATTGGGTTACATGATACATTAGACCTCGACAAACAAGCATGATCGCGGACAGAGCAAAAAATTAGGACGTTTCCATAAGATTAGATCGAGGATGTCGAGCAGTCACCACACTAAAGCGTGTGAAGAGAAGCTGCGTGTACATCTCTGAGTAAACAGATGATAAATGGTCAGCTAAACAAGCGAAGAATTGAAAACGGACAGGACCAGAAATGATGAATAGGCAGCCGAGAAGGAGGAAGATGGACCGTCTCGAGTTTCTCAAACAATACGCTATGTGTTGGTTGCTCAAAACCCTGCAGATTTTCTAGTGAGAAGTAACAGCTCAGTGAAAATACTTCAACGTTGACGGATATTATTCATATTCCTAAAATCTAAATTGAATGATACATCATATAATGGAGTAAAAACAGCCAAAACCGTCAGTTACTGCACAGGTGCATTTAAATACTTCCAACGGTTTCGACGACGAAGTAAGGTCGACAATTATTATGAAAATGCCAAGTGAATCACCACCAAACTGCCGAAACTTCACGAAACAACAACTAAAATAATCGAAAAAATCGACGCTAAAAAATGTAGCTAGTGTCTCATTAAGAATCTACAAGAGAGATATTCACTAGCTTTGTATAAAAGAAACCACTTTATTATTTGCGTGACGGAGGATAAAATTCATGAAGAGGAGGCCATTTTTCAACCGATCAAAATAGGGTAACAGGCGTCTTACACTTGATTAGTAAATCGGCAGCACTCAAAAGAAAATAATAATAGTTGGGAGTTTCCTTTATGTAACGATCAGTAAGTGCATGACTCCGCTATCTTTAAAACGGAACGTTTATGAGGATCCGGACACTTGATGCGTCATCAGATGACGCTGAAGAGCGCACTTGAGAGTAGCACGATAGGGACACACAGGGCATGGGAAGGGTTTCTCGCCCGTGTGACGCCGAGCATGGCGCTCCAAGTCTATCTTCTGCTTGAACAGCTTGCCGCACACGTTGCAAATGAGAGTGAAGCTCTTCTTCGCGAACTTCGTTAGGCCATCAGATGGTCTGCGAGCCTCGGGTAGGAAACTAACGGGAATGCTTGGCAATGCCATCGATGTTTCAGGGACCAGAGCTGCGGGCCAATTTTGAGTTATCTGCAAACAAAACGGCGGAGTTACTTCACAGCTACAAGGGGACAAATCACCAAAGATAAAACACGCTACGGACGTTAATTGCACGGAAATTACTTGTAATTTTCTGCAAACATGCGTCGCGAAGGAGACCAGCTGATGTGAAATGTAGATGTACAAAGTTGGAGAAAATAAATGAACCTAAGGACGAGAGGCATTCAAAGATCTCAATGCTACAGAATTTGGAATATACTCTAACTACATCAGCTTTCCAAAGAAGTAGATCACGCTTTATGCATTTGCAACATATTTAGTAACGATATTAGGAGAGAACTTTCAACTGCCGGTGGCGAGTCAAATAGGGCTTTCCAAATCTCCAAGGACAGTGAGCACACTATCCATTTCTAGTGCTATTGCAAGGTGCACTTGACGGTGGCAGAATAGGAACACAAGGAACACTTGTAGGGACGCTCGCCAAAGTACGTGAGAACATGGCGCAGTAGTCACCTAATTAGCTTAGCAATTACAATTACTGATGATCAGGCTCGGCTCTGAACGCTTTAATGGATTCGTGAGTGCGTAGGTGTTTGTTAAGAGTTTTCTTTAGAGCAGCTCGGTAGGGGCAGATGGGACAAGGAAAGGGTCTTTCTCCTGTGTGTATTCTCTCATGTCGTTCCTTGTCAGTCTTGTTGATGAACGGTCTTAAGCAGAAGGAACAGGCGTATTTGCGTAATTCTGGGGGCAGGATGGCAGGAACCAGAGCGGTGCTGTAGGCTGACGCTGACTGAAAACTGCCTTGCGACGCCTGCAATGAAACCAAGGTAGGCCATCAAAAATCCCGATCATTCAATGTGCCTCTGTGGAGGATGTAGTCTTGCGTAGCTTTCTTAAGGAATTATACTTAACTTCACACATATTAAGCAAGTAAATGCCAGATAATTTATTTTAAAATAACCTGCACCAATCGCCGTTCATTAGCACCGACACCGTTTCGAGCCGAAGAGACAACCATATGATTCAATCGGCAAACAAGGCCATTGAGAAAATGCAAATGTTTGACGTCAATAATGCACAGAAAAGTTTTTTTCTGAACAGAAAATTTATAATATTTAATTTTAAAATATCATATAAGTTAACACTTTTCCATAGACCAGAGAAGTCAATAAAAATCTAGAGATCCATCAACGAGAACAAAGTCAGTCGTTGAACCTTCCATAAACTGTGCCATTGAGTCGAAATTCCATCGTATTTCAGAATTTGAAAAACGCATCTGAATTTGAAATAATTTTCTCAACATGACATCGCTAGAGGGGAATCTTAAGGCGGTATTCAACTCGAAGGTTTATAGATCTTAAAACGGAGTAATCACAGAAATTTTCTTCAGGCACGAAGGTGATATAGGGATTAAATTTAAATAATTTTAGCGAGGGTCCGTGGATTCTCGAGCACGTCGCTCAGGGTGCTTGTGGCCAATGTGGCTCTGCAGAGACCATTTCCTAGAAGCTCGGTAGTCACAGTCAGGACACTTGTAAGGACGTTCTCCTGTGTGCGTACGGACATGACGAACCATGTCAATATTGGAATAAAGTTTGCGATCGCAGAATTCGCATTGATAAATCTTGATTTTAGAAGTTCCTATGGGTTTGAATAGCACGTCGAATTGAGTACCAGTAGCAGACGATCCACTGGCAGAAGATCCAGCGCCAGTTACGCCTGCCATCGACAATGGCAACGACTTCCCCATAGTTTTCGTAGAAACAGGAGAAATTCCTGGAGACGGCCATACATCGCGTCGTCCTGCGATAGGAACTTCGGTGCGAATAGTACCAGGAAACGTTTTCAAATTAACCGTTTTGCCAGGAGCCACGTCAGCGATATTCAAATTATCTAGAAGACCGGCACGATCGCCGCGTAGGGATACAAAGCAGCGGAGCTCGTCAATAGATGTCCCTCCGCTCGCCGTCGATGAGGATCCCAAGGATGTGGATGGTTGTCCTGGCAAATGGTCCATCTGTGGAGGGATTACCACCATTAATCCTCTATCTATCTCGCTATTGGAGGGATTACCACCATTTATCCTCTACATCGCAATTCAAAGCCAACCATAAAAATGAGAAGAAGTGAAAACGCACGCTCTGTTCACGAAGATGAACGAAGAATAATTTGCTGTCTCATAGGTTGGATATAGTTTTACGAACTTGCCAACTCTATCATTAGGAAGCCGTCATTTTCTTTCGACGTTAAATTAGACATGTAAAGTTTTGATAAAGCGATTTATAATTTTAAAACAAAATTAATATGCCGAAAGTGGAAGATTTTGATCTAAAACTCAACGTCGACAATGCTGACTAGTAGTAAGGGTGATAGATGGACTGAATCGCCTGTGGAGATATTTTGTCTCAGAACCCCATAAGCTGAACTTTTACTATTACGAATATTTTTTACATAGTTATTTTACCTCGCTTAACAGCTTTCAATATAGATCTGACGGAATTTCAGCAGACGCAAATTTTCGTTTCTTTAGAAACTGACGTACATAAAACCACGTTATGTTACGATCGATGGTTATTCCTCAATGTTTAATTAAATCGTACAAGACAGGATAAACGATACACGACAGCTTTTTATATCCACATTTATTGATAATATCATAGGCAGCGTATCAGAGCTGCAGAGCATTTCATGTACAACCCTTGGAAGTGAGTTCTTCACCATTACTATATGAAAACATAATTTACTTAAGCTAACCCTCACTTAACATGCAGCCCGTATTACTGGGCAGAGTAATCAAGTAAAATAGCTGCAACAGACGCTTTATGAATCACGCAAAGGCGCAAATGATGAAATGAAAACAAAAAATAATATTGGTAATGCGAGCAGAAATTGGAAGCGTTTGCATTACTCGAACGATTTTCATCAGAGGGTAATACTTGTCCAGGATTTCGCCGATGGTTAAAGTATTCGTAAAAAATGGGTTATGATAGACAACTCGATTGAATATGAAGAGAATGTTTTTGCAAGTATCAGTGAACGAAATAGTTTAATTAATCAATTACGAAAAGCAACTTTCTTACAAAGAAGGTACGCAATCACATCACGACTAAATTTACACGCTTCTCATCATCTCTCGGCAATGTCAGGAAACAACATGAGTATTATAACTTTGTGTATTCGTTGGTCGAAAATAAAAACTACTTGCCTCTCCTACTTGCAAAGGAAGATCTAATTACATGAAGTCAAAAGTAACGTACACACTAAAAACCTATCTATACCTAGACACTCATTTAAATAATGACAGTGCCATCTTGCTCCTTCGCACTTCCAAACAGTGGATTTGGCCGCACAGCTGCACGTTCTATGCAATATTATATATAGAAGAAAGACCTATCGACCCATCAATCTACCCAATCACGGGAGTCCGTACATAAAAAACTTAATTCATCCAATGTCTCATGTAGCTTGTTTATAACATTAACATTATAATACTATTTACGAGTGTGACATAGGTTAAAAATTCACGAGTTTTCATAGGTACTGCAATCATTCTTAGTTGTCCCACACGCAAATTTCTTCTAGCATGGCTGAATTCTTCTCGCATTTCAGCTCCATGGCTGAATTCAAGATAAATGGCTGCCGCCGTATTAAATGCATTAGGTACCCGATTAGTATCCATAGCCATGAAATGACTTTTCACTTTATAACGGATAATCTTGACAAAAATTTATAAATCTAAGTATAACTGCCAAATAATATAATAATGAGCACTTTTATCCTTTTACCGAAGCAATGTCCAGTTAGAAAGCACAATGACATACGTACAGTAGAACAAAAACGCCTAGCTAAATTAAAAATGAACCTGCATGCGGTGTACAGTACAGTCGGTCGTTTTTCCAGAACAAAACCGTAACATTTGTCACACACCAAAAACTATATTACAATGAACTCATAGAAGTAGCGTCGAGTTTATGCACGGTAAAAAGATGTCTCCTCAAATTGCACTTGACCGTCGCACTATAGGAGCACAAGTGGCAGTTGTAAGGGCGTTCGCCTGTGTGAGTGCGCATGTGTTTTTTCAAGTCAGCTCGACTAGAGTTCCACTTTTGGCAGAGCGGGCAATTCAAACCATAAGATTTCCGCGCAGATGTTTCCGGAGATGCCGACTCCAAATTATCATTATTGGGAATTTCCGACAACTCGACCTCAATAGGAGGAAAGAGCTGGTCGTCCCCTCCTTGAGAAAAGTAGTTTTTTTCACCTTTGGCTGAGTATCGACGATCGCGTTTGTGCGCGCTAGGAGAGCACCATGTTTCAAGTCCGGTCGCGACCACAGGTTCGATCTGAGAAAGAAGCGCAGTGCCACTTATTAATTCAGATATTCATCAGAAATATCGTCATGAGAAACTCTCGTACATAAGACGAGTAAAGATGGTGTCAAGACACGACGAACATCCAATAAAATTTAACGTTCAACGCAAGCGTGTCTACCCATGTCCTCAAGTAATGAAACTTTTAACGCCTTACTGGACGGCGGCTGCGCGACGATTAGTCTCATAAAGTGAGATAACTCATTTAAATTTTGAAAAGATTTCCTCGTAAAAAAACGAATTTCCTAAATGTTGACACGAATATCAGTTTGCCAAACAACCTACACTTCAAGGAAAAGCTTGTGGAAAAATGTACGAGTTCACTCAATAATTCATTGAGACGAATTTTACTTCATTTATTCGTCACTTTATTTCGAAACGCACTCATGCAAATGACTGGCACTTAGATTTGCTGCAAAGAATTCATGTGTTTAGTTTTGATGTGTGTTCGCAAGTTACACTTGACACTGGCGCTGTAGGGACACAAAGAACACTTGTATGGTTTCTCGCCCGTGTGGATACGAACGTGTCGCGCGAGTTCTGCGCGGCACGAAGCCCAGCGACCACAGTAGGAACAAGTGACACCCGACACACCGCTGCGCAGTGCACGACTTAGAGAGCTCGGAGCGATGGGCAGCAGCTTTGATAACGGGCTCGACAGGAGCTTTGCAACAGACGAAGCATCGTCACACGAGGAGTTGGGACGTGCACAAGACGGCTCTTCGACACCATATGAAGGCTCCGGGGACGACACTGTCATCGTCGTTCCGTGCGCCATTGGCTCGAACTCCATGCTCTTGCGGCGAGTGTTGGTCAATCTTGAGAATTGACTGGAGATGCAGCCCCTTTCCACCCATGACGAGAGGATGTTGTAACGCGCCGAGCTAGCGATGAGAGGGATGATCTGCAGGGAGGGGCGAGTTTACATTATTCAACAGTCCTAAAAATACTATAACGAGCCACAATATACTCTAACTACATCAGCTTTCCGAAGAAGTAGATCATGCTTTATGCATTTGCAACATTTTTAGTCACGACATTTGGAGAGAACTTTCAACTGCCGGTGAAGAGTCAAACGGGGCTTTCCAAATAGCTTTCGACAGTCGGCACACTATTCACTTCTTTTGCCGTTGCCCCTCTGGAATAATTTTAAATCTTTTCTATGATATTATGTTTAGATCGCAAGTGATACTGCAAGGTGCACTTGACGGTGGCAGAATAGGAACACAAAGAACACTTGTAGGGACGCTCGCCAGTGTGCGTGCGAACATGGCGCAGTAGATCAGCATTGCATGGACACCATTTGCCGCAAAATGAGCAGGTAACTCCGACGGGCCTGCTAAGACTGTTCTTAGCATCCTCAGGATACATGTGATGTTTAGTTCTTCTTTGCTTTTCAGCCGCAGTCGCTTTGGGTGAAGAGGTGTAAAGTTCGGGCATCATCTGATCCTCTCCGGATTGTAACACTGGGCGCGATGCAGAGAATTTCAGATGCATCTGAGGAAGAGGAGCCTAGAGTTAGAACGTTGATATATGGTCTATGCGTCTATTAATTCCATGAAACACATCCCTCTTCCCCCAAAAATTATGTTTTGTTTGTTTTTTTCCAAGGCGAGCGAAGATACGGCGTAGATGGCATCACATCAAAACATTGTGCCTCTTGGCGAGATGTTTCTGTAGAGAACATTTCACGCATGCGCTGTAATCGCAAATCCAGCACTTGAAAGGCCGTTCTCCAGTATGTATTCTTTCATGTCTTGCAAGGTCGGCGTTGCAAGAGAACCATTTACTGCAATAGCTGCACATCACGCCAGCGGGATGGACTCGCCGGGTCTTGATGCCAGAGTAGCGCGACTGTGAGCCAAGAAGATGTCCGACCTGAGACAGAAGTATCTGGTTACTTTAACCCTAATACACCTGCAGTCCATCATTACGGATACTTCAAAATTTAGGGATACTTTAAGGCCTCGTCATCGTCAATTTACAGCATGAAAAGGCTAAAATAAATCCTTTTTCACGACCTTAAAAGAAATTTATGGGTGAATCCTTCGACCACTGATGTAAGATACTTAAAAAACGGCAGAATTACGAAAGGTCTTGCACATGATTCAGTTGACAGTCGTCTATTTCGCAATAATACAAGGACGCAAATAAAGGATTATAAAAAAAACAGGGAGATTCTCTCGTATCTTTATACTTGAAAACGGAGCAAGATAAATACAGCCTATTACCAAATATAGTACAAATATAAGTGTAACCTAGCTAAAGTTGATGAAAACTATTTTCGACGGAAAATGCATTAGTAAGAAAAACAATGCCTTTCTACAGATAAATCTGATAAACCTCGGTAGGAGCTTATTTCGGCTCAACTCGAGTTTCTGAGAAGAAATTCTAGTAATAAGATTAAATCCGACATCATGCATAAACATACGCAATTTTTGGAACATACCAGTGTCATGTTTTGATCATGGAACACGGAACACTCGAATTCATCAATATTATCACTGATATAAACGAATGGTTATCTTCTGAAAAACTTTGCCGTTGCGCAAACACGATACGATGCTAATTAGTTTACTGCTATACCCAATATATGCTAGCAATCATGTAAGCAAAGGTGGACATTTAAACATAAAAACGGGACAGCTCTCTAAAATTTATTATTAAAAAAAAAATATATAAAGCTGCAGTCAGTTTATATTTCAAGTCAACTAGCTCATGGGTCATATATTTTTATCCAGCATCGAGAATACTAATAGTTGTAGTCGACCCAAGTGAAGGGCGATGCGTCCTCGCATTGAATTCAAGCAGTAAAAATCTTTAACTTAGCTATCTTCTTTCGCTTCATTTAACAGCTTCTTGCAATCAGCGGTGTAAGATACGAAGATCACATTAAAATTACACTGGCATCAAGTTAACGAATTAACATCAACGAGCACTCGGAATCAATGATCTGTTTGAAATTGTTTGTGTTTGAACATCATATGGCTTTGCAGTGTGCTTTTGACAGTCGCGCTGTATGGACACAGTTCACACTTGAAGGGTCGCTCGCCAGTGTGTGTGCGGATATGCCTGACGAGGTCTGTTTTGCCCATAAAGCTCTTGCCGCACACACTGCACTGTCGGTTCGCCGTAGTCTTCGGAGCTGCAGTCGACTTGGGGCGAGCGGTAGAAGCCAGTTCAGAGGGCAGAGCTTGCAACTGCCCAATCGAGAAAGGGACGTCCGCAAATGATATCTGTGGGAAGAACGCACAAGTTTTATCTTCTGAATTTGATATTTTAGCAATTCTGTTGCTTATGCCCTACGCACAAATTTTTCCTTGATGATGCAGCCAAGAAGATGTTTCTAATCTTTCGTCTAGGATATTTTTCGGAAAGTTGGTACAATATTTAAATTCCATTTAATGTTGAAATCAATCCCGTATCACTAAGATGGGTCCAGTAAGGCTTGATGTCTGCTTTTCATGTGGTAGGAGAGCGTGTGTTTTCTTGAGGCACTGTAAGTACACATCGTGCACTTAAATGGACGTTCGCCGGTATGAGTGCGCAGATGGCGCTCCAGATCAGACTTGCCCCCGAAGCATTTACTACAATACGGACAAATTAATTCTTTTATAGTCCAGCCGCTCTTCGGTACAACTTCCAGGGGCTGCCGGAGGCGCGGCCTGGCACGAGGATCAGGTGTGTCATCGAACCCACTGTAATCGGACGACAAAGACGCCGACGCAGCGTCGTAAACCTGGGGGAAAGCGCATACACTTTATAATGAGCTCATTTTTCCGTACGCTGCTTTGCTAAGCAAGAGATCGAGAACTTACTAAGTCCTTAGTTAATTTTCTTGTTTCGTTCGTTCGACCATACGCGATGATTGGTCAATACATTTCATTAAAATCCAAATTAAACTTCAGGTTCAGTCAGCGTTTTGGGCAAAGTTTACTAATTATCGTACAGTTCGTCTCATGTTAAAAATACAAGCAAAGCATATAAGCAAGCCCCCAATCGCAATCTAACCCAGAAAACTGAATAAAAGTTCAAGTCGTAGCGAAGTAAAATAGAATCAAGAAGATACCGACGAAAATTTCGACAGATGGAGCGATAAAATACAACTGTCGAATACGAGACACTTGCAATAACATTTTTGCGCATGAATTATGCAACTTCTTTCCAATAACAACTTTTCTCACAGTAAAAATCCAACACACGTCATTGGATGACGGATTCCGAAAAACGAATTTTTCTTTCACGATCCCGGAATATCCTGGGATGGATCCATAGGCCATCTCTTCTGGTGGATATTGAAGACGTGGCCCTGTAAGGTGCTCTTCCTGCTGGCGCTGTAGGGGCACAGAGGACACTTGAAAGGCCGCTCCCCGGTGTGCGTGCGAATATGTCGTTGTAACTCAACGTTTCGGTAGAACCAATGCCCACAGTAAGAACAGGTATAGCCTCTAGAAGTTCTAGCGGTTGTGTTTTCGGAGGGTTGTCGAGGTACCGTCGAATGAGCAATCATCGGGTCCGCACGAGAATTGATAGACGGATTAGACAGCAGATGCTGAAGAGTGTCGGATGGAAGCGAGCCCAAGTTACGAGGTATCTGAGGAAAATAGGACCGACATTAACCTCGTGAACTCCAGGTGCATGGCTCATTAGATACACGTATCGGTCAGTGATGCCCACAAGCATAGTTATAAGAGCTTTACACACGTAATTCGGGTTACTTGAATTTGACGACAGATCATTGCATACGCTACTTAATATTTCTCTTCTGTCACTCGTATTTACATAGGTGTGACATGAATAAACTGGTACGTTAATTATTAAAATAACCTCTCCTTCGCAATTTCCAAGCTACGAAGAAGGCGCGAATCAGTCCTTTCGTTTCAGTCTTAACGGGATTGCACAATCGCTTTCCTGCAACTTACTTATACAATTATTGATATCTAGAAGTCATCACACTCCTGAGAAGTGGAATCTACTTATTGCTTCCGTAAAGAGGGAGAGCAGAGGTGGTTGGACTCAAGACCTGATCAGGAACCATTTTATGTTTGCCTTCCAGGTGAATTTTCAAAGTGACTTTCTGTGCAGCACTGTAAGGACACAAGGGACACTTGTAGGGGCGCTCGCCAGTGTGAGTCCTGATGTGACGTTCCAGGTCCGTCCTACCGACGAAATGCTTGCCGCAATATTTACACGAGAGAACTCCTGCAACTGGCCGCACTCTGGCCCTTCCTCGTGGCCTCTGGGAAGCCAACATTAGCCAAGACGGCAAGTTAAGGGCCGAAGGTGAAGTAGAAGTTGTGTCAGATGCAGATGCGTAGTTTGCTGACGAAATAGTAGCAAAAGCCATTGCCGAGCAGGTGAGAGGAAGAGTAGGGCCCGACGACACAGACGGTACAATCAAGGAGGATGTGCCGGGAAAGAGGGACGATGAGGCCAAGCGTGAGGTGGCCGTCGCCTGAAGAAGAAGTAACAGCCGTTACTGGAAAGATCTTTCAATAACTGTGATTGCACAGTAGTAACAGTTGTAATTTAGATAAACTTAGTATGTCACTGGATAAGGTCCGACTCCTGTATCAACATAATATTTGGAAGCCAATTACGAACATTTCGTTACTGAATGAACTTGCACGAGTTCAGGTCGAGTCTAAGAATTTATAGTAAGACTACGGACGACTAACTTCATCGAGTACAATTAGAATATGCCGAAAAATTTAAACGTTGCAACTGTTTGAGTTTAAATATCGAATACTTTCCAATAGCGAAGCGCTTCTTGTGAAGAATTTTGCACTTGTTCCAGCATACGCAATACATTAAGAACATGTCAACAAATCATCAACATATCAAACGCATTCAAGCATGTACCACCAGTGTATATGATACCATCAAATTCTAACATTTTCTTTGTGAACAATGGCCACTCAATTACGGAGCTCGATACTAGAATACAGATAGTTGAAAATTATAATTAGTATTCTCGACTATAAATTAAACATAAAAACGAATGAAAAAACTCGCGACAGTATTCGATTTCGTAATAAGTGATATTCTTCCCAAAAAGTGAGAAGTACAACGCACTGGTCGACATAAGTCTCGCCGACCGCCGATTGATGAATTCAAAATACGTTTTTTTTATTGCTCAATTCATAAAATCGCCGTCAAGCAGCCAACTCATCAGTCTCATAATGGAAATTCGCTTACTTTTTATCGATAATCTAGACTAGAAAAATTTGCGACAGCAAATTCTTATAAAAAAAATGTAATGACGAATCTTGCTTTTTTTGTTTGTACTTAATAACGTATCATGTGTCGTGGATAATTATAATGTACCATTAATAGTATAAAACGAATATAACCTGTACACTAGAAGAAAGACTTTCCAAGAACAACGCTGTCATTGAGTACTATCTTAGGTCAGATGAGAAACGCTATGATGCTGTCCTTTGATGTGTTTGTTGAGTGTCCCTCTTTGCCGGGCTTTGTAAGGGCAGAAGGGGCATTCAAAGGGCTTCTCTCCCGTGTGGATGTACATATGCTTAACGAGCTGCGACTTGAAGGCGCACCACTGGCCGCACTCAGGACACACTATTCCCGAATTCTTGCTCTGCCCTCCTGAGTCCTCTAGAGAAAATCCAACTCCAAGCTGAGAGTCGAAGTCCACCATCGAATTTGATGATTGAGTCTTCTCAGGATGATCGGTTTTAGAGATATGATGCCAGCCGCCATCTGCTACATGAACATAATCGAGAGACAGCGACGCAGCAGACGAGGATGCCTTGCCATTTGCGGCAGGTCTTGCGACCCAAACCTGTGGCCGCATCACAGATTTCTTAGGCTGGTCAGGCACTGTGTCCTGCACGAGACAACACAACACAAATTAAGCACCTCACTCTACTGACTTTTATAGTTACTATCCCGTTCAACCTTGTCTCATTTTTCACATTGACCAGTGACTGTTTATCTCAACGATATTTGAGAACACTGACATTGTGCGTCAACCTAAACCATTCCACGTTTATCCTGTTAGTTAATATTTTTGTGGGTGCTTATAAAATTGGCTTTACCAATGTACAAGAGTAGTCATGCTAGACACGACCTGAAGAGATGTAGTATACAAGAATAATAGCCGATTTAAGGTGAGAATACATCAGATGTGAAACTATATACGAGGTTACTTTGTGCAGTAGCGGTCTCAGGGAACAAAACGCTCAAATATCAATAATAAAACAAAATTTCACTATACTGGAAAATTAAACCAAGAATGAACGCATAGAGTTTATTATACATGAATTTACATCAGTGTCGGGAAATAGTTAACTGTGTAGGGCACAGGCAAAGCTCAAAGCTCGATAGTACACAATATTCACAAAGCAACCTAATAATCTATTCAACCGTATTCAGGACGCTAGAGCTGTCATTCTACGTACTCTAAAGAACGATAGTTAAAAATACGCTGTACAAATAAGGGATAAATACAGAATAATTATTTGACCTGGTATGGCCTTATGAGCAGATATTTGAAGTATCAGCAGGCCAATTCAGATATTGTGGATCTCTCAATGGTCAGCAAATGATATGAAAAGAACGAAATAAATAAAATAAACACATCTGAATAGATTTCCAAATAGCCAAAAGAAATTTTATTCAATAAGAATTAAAAGCTCCAAAATCATTCAAGCTGTCAACGTGTCAATCTACTCGCAACGAAAGAAAAAACTTCATTGAATGTCATCTTCTTAGTAGTATGTAATTCCATACAATTTCAAAAGAAACACGGTGAAAGAAATACTACAGTGTTTAACAATAGCCTCCGGCTATTCTTCGGAGGTCGGTCAAGATTCAAGATATTCTGAAAAATTCTTGAAATGACTACATTTTCTCTTATCGTGATATTTCTGAACGCGAGTGGGGAAAAATAGGAACATAGCAAGTCAACGATGCCGATAATAATTATGGTTTATAAAAAAAGGCAGTTCTAACGAGGTCTAATGTAATAAAAAAAAATTCGGGTGTTGAATATTCTTATGAAATAAATTCCGCCGAAAATAATATAGAGCCTATCACTAGCGATATGGTGAAAAAGCGTTAAGAACTAATGGAGCAACCGTCACTCATAAAAATTCGGAATATCAACATCCATGTTCAAGGAGTGAAAATCATGAAAAGTTATTAAATTTCAGTGACTAGGAAGTGGCTTCTTATGACATATTAGTAACATTTACCTACTACCGATGGCTTTATTCGTCGCATAAACTAACACGAGCTCTTATCACAACACGACGATGGTCTTCCTCTCTTCAGCTTATGACCTGCAAGATTCTGGTGTTTAATCAGTTGATAGCGATTGTGGAACGTCTCCAAACACACACGACACTTGTTCACCTGAAACTTGTCAGATTCTTCATCGTTGTAAGACAGGGATGGCTTTTCCTCATCAAAAATCGAAGAACCAGTTTGCCTGGTACTACACGACACGGCATTGTCAAGAAATAACGATTCTTCTAAGTTTGATGTTCCGAATGCAGCTCGAATCTTACTCAAACGACGGGCTTTCTGGGCGCGAATACAAGCCTGTAAGCCGGGCACAGCTTCGTCCATGCTTTTTTTAACACCACGAAGCAGTGTCAGAATTAAATCAAGACAATAATTAATACTTTTTTTGTTGTTCGCATCATTGTATTCGGAATCAAAATGTTGATTACGTTCTTCACAAACTGAAAAGACCCGAGCAAAAGCGTTAGCGAGTTCATCCATGGAGGTTTCAATGGATCGATATTTACTTGAAACCTCTGAAACTTTTTTGATGAAGCGTTGGTTGCCTTGCCAAGTGTTGACCAAATCGTAGTAATAGCGAGCAGCAGCTGCGGTTGTTGATATAAGTTCCATGAAGTCAGCATTCAACAAGAATTCTTCGGACAAGAGCTTTGACGGGTCAACTTTGAGACGGACACAGAACACCGCCAAAGCATCGACCTCGGAAGAAACAGAAACTCCTCCCAACACACTCGCTAAGCCACTTGGCAGTGACAAGGCCATATCACTACAAACTGAAGAACACGGATCAGTATTACGGGAACCTGTACCAGAGGCCACTGGCACCAAGGCAAGTTGCTTCTCTTCCTCCAAGATGCAGATGGGTTCTACATGGTTCACTGTGTCTTCGTTTTCAGCAGAAGCCTCTCGACTTCTCTGCAACAAACATGAGAGAAGGAAGGTAGTGAACTCATTGAGATCTCACTACGAAGGGTGGCTACGACTACTAACATCGACTAAAAGCTCACAACTCATACTTCCAGAAGCAATTCTTTCTAATGAACATAAAGCGCGCAAATCAAAGTAACTAAAAATGAGGGAATAAGCAACTAAACAAAAAGTTGGTGGGTAGTGGTAATGTTCTCTTTTTAAACATGTTTCTTCACCAAAATCAAATTTTCAATTGATCTAGAAGCAAGACAATTTTCGTTTATTCTCGAATTGCACTCGCACGTTAGCAATCAGTTGAAGATTAGAAAGTTTCGCACTAGGCTATTCCCAACTTTTATTTTCATGGCCTAAATCACGCTCGTGAACAGGACTATTCTGAACTGCTCGGCCCTCTTTTGTTATGGACTCTGAGATGCTGTGTCAAAGTGCCCTTTTGCGCAGCTTTGTACGGGCAGAAAGGACAAGCGTACGGCCTTTCCCCGGTGTGAATTCGGACATGCCGTTTCAAGTCCTCTGTCTTGAAGAAAGACTTGGGACACATTGAGCATGGATGTCCTTTGGTGGACTTGTTCTGCTGAAGCCGACCCAATGAAGATCCTGCGTGTAACGCGTTACCCAATGCCAGGTTCTTGGTCAGGTGCGACAACCTTCTGTTGATATCGGTCGGTGAACAGCCATCGCTGAAGTGGTCGAGTTCATTAGCAAGGTACGAGGACTGACTGAGCTGTGAAGGTCTGGACGAGGTAGGCCAGGCAAAGGAGGACGACGCGCAGCTTGATTTGAAGTTAAGCTCGCTTGACGAGTCTATCTGTCCGAGAGAGATGAGGCTGCGTGTTAAATAAACTCTGCACAGTAGTGTCGCTTTTCCTACTAAACATACGCTAACACGATTAAGTCGGAGTTATTTTAAACGATCTCGTTTTAAATATAACAAATATCTTCATCGCACCAAGCTTCTTTGCGTAGGCAATGGTTAAAAACGTGTGACAGTAAGTTAATGTACACTATAACGTTTGCTAATAAAAAAGGAGCCAAATCGAAAAAAATAATCAGGTAAATAAAGAAGAAAGAGCAAATATTGTTACAATTTCTTAATAAACATGAGGGGACGAGTTGCTGAAATTGAGATGATTAAGAATCATGTGACAAAATCGCTAAACAAAAGCCCAAAAACAGATTTCTCCTAATACATAAGATGCCATAATAACGGCGTTAGCGTAAAGAACGATTTAGCAGGTCAGTTTTACTATAGTTGGGTCGGAACATGACTTCTACAATCACAGCGTGATAAGCTTAAATGAAAAGAATAAGAAGGTTCAGTCAAAAATGAATCCAAATAAAAAACGAGCAACTTTTGGAACGCAAGTAAAAAAATTAGATACATGAAATAAAAAATCCGAAGAAATAATCTAATTTCATTTCACTTTCATTTTCAAAAAACGCATAACGGGCTCAAAGATTGCACAGCACCACACTCTGGGGTGTCATAAGAATTTGTGTTCGCACAAGCACGTTTTACAGGAATGCAGGTTTTTGCGTAAAGACAGTTCAGTGCACAAGGCTATGAAATTCCTCGTCGTTTCTAAACCGACCGCTCTTGAAGCGAAGAAATTCGTGTTGATGAAGTTTAATTGTAACTTTTAAACTGCGACAAGTTCAGATAGTAGAACTAGAACTCCTCATTTACCCAGATCCATGACGATCCAAGCGTATAACGTTTCCAGATTTTCATTTTGCAAGACCATTGGAGAGATTCAAAACGCGATATTATTGTTGATAATAATAGATTGAACAAAATCAGTGTCAAATTGATACAGTAACCATAATCATTGCCTTAAACTTGTCCCTTAGTTAAAAGCTATTCTAATCGTTAACATCAAAGATCCTGGCTTGGAATATTTTCCTTGATTTAGTATGACTATTTATAATTTTGAAAGCATGACAGACGCTCAAAACTTGAAGGTATTGTGCTTGAGATGGGTTTTCAGATGCTGTTTCAGGTTGCCCTTGAGAGCTGATTTATAAGGACATTTGTTGCAGCAGTATGGGCGCTCGCCAGTGTGCACTCTGATGTGTCGTTTCAAGTCTTCACTTTTAGCGAAAGTCTTGGCGCAATATGAACACGCGTGGATTCTAGGCGGCTGACGCTTCAGAGTCCCGAATCCATCAGAAGACGGACGAGTCAGCCTCCTCG